GAATGTTCCGGAAGAGGAAGTTCCTCTGTGCTCCTTTTTCCATCTAGCAATACTCTACTCGATGGTTTTAACTCCTTTGCACTAAACCACTGGTGGCTTTCCAAGCACGGATGCTGCCATCTCGCCATAAGGAATCCGAAAAACAGGCTTATCCCATCTCTACCGATAGCATTGGCCAGATCCTCTCACTGATTTCCTGCTACCATCAATCATTTTCGGACTCCTGGCAACCTTTCTTTGCAGCTGAGCCAAGTGAAATAATGAAATGTGTACTTAGCTTGTGAAGATTAGCCGCATGCTTCCCCTTTTCTGTGTCAGTCCTTCAAATACTGAATGACTGCTATCACATCACTCCTAGTCCTTCTGTGCATTATCCATTCCCTACAATCGCTCATTGTATGTTTTAACCCCTCCCAGTGTCTTTGTTCTTCTTCTCTGCACTCTTTCCACAGTCTGAAGACCTTTTTTGTATCCTGGTCACCAAACCTATCCAAAGTGTAGTCTTACCAATGCAACATAAAACAGTACTAACATTTCATGTGGCCTTGACACTATCTCTGTGGTGCTGCAGACTAGGACTGCATTGACTAGGCAATTACAGCACAGGTGTAATGCATTGCATTGCAGATGCAATGCATTACACCTGTGCTGCAGACTAGGACTGCATTGACTAGGCAATTACAGCATATGCTAACTCATATGTGATTGTTTCTAGGGCCCTGTCACAATTACTGCTCTTGATCCAGGCACAACTTCTTTTATAGATGGGCATTTAGCTTTTCTTGCCTAAGTGTAAGAGCTATTGGCTAGTCCCCCACAACTGGGTGTCATCTGCAAATTTGATGACTTCCCTTTCAATCTCTTCATCTCAGTCATGCATGAACAAACTACATATACAGGTGAAACTTGAAAAATTAGAATATCATGCAAAACTATCGGCTTGAACTATCTTGCTTTGCATTTAATGAGTCTTGTCTCATATATTAGTTTCACCTTTTAAGTTGCATTACTGAAATAAATGAACTTTTGCACGATATTCTAATTTTTCGAGTTTCACCTGTACTAGATGAGGCATTCAAGCGGTTTTCCCAAAGATTCTTTTCAAAATGCAATTGATGAGGTGCTGGTGGCCTTTTGCCAGCTGGACAGATATCTAGCAGGGGATATTCCAGTGACATTAATCACTGAGCTGATAGAAATGCAGAAAAAGGCGCACACAGAGACTATCAATCCTCAAGCTGATCTGTCCAAACTATGTTGAGGCTTCAGTGCTGCCACACAGGGGCAAGGGATAGGGAGGGGGGATTAGAGATAGCTGGGGTTGTGTAGTCAAAATAAAATGCTTTCACGTGCCCCAATCCCCAAAATGCAATGTGAGCGCCCCTGCAAAAGTGCCTCACCCCTGCATGCACATTCTCTGCACATGCACACACACACACCCGCACGCATGTGCTCCCCCTGCCTCCGTTTTGGCTTCCAGGTTGGTGTAGGCTTTACCCCAAAATTGGGCAGGGGGGGGTCACGATCTCCACAATTCCCCCCCACCGCGTGCCCTAGCTTCCTCCTGCATTCCTGCCTCCCATGACTTCTCCAATCTTTGCAGTTTCTCTCCCCCACCCCAGCACGTCCTAGCTTCCTCCTGCCGCGGAGGGTGGAACCTGCGGAGATCGGGGAAGGCATAGGCAACAGAAATGCAGGAGAAAGTGTGTTTGAGAGAGAGAGAAACTGCGGCAATCTGAGTTCCATCGCGCGCATGTGCAAAGGCCAGCTGGCCAGCACACGTGCATGTGACGGAACCCGAAAGAGAGCAGCTGGCTGTGTGCACATGCGCATCGAACTAGCTGGTCTTCCCCCATGTGTATGATGAAACCCGGAAATGCAGCTGGCGATGGCGCGCATGCCCAGAGGTTCACTATCACGGATATAGCCTATATTCTATATATGTATTGAAAATGAGAGAGGAATAAAATTTGCAAAGTAAAACAAAATGTCAGCTTAAAAGAACAAAAAATAGTATCTCAACTGAGAGCACAAAAAAAAAAGAGATGTCAGCTTGTTGTTAGTGTAAAAAAGCTTGTATGTATGTATGAATGTATGTTATAAAAAGATAATATGAGGTAGGCCACAAAGATCCACAAAATAGTGAAAAGTATTAGAAATTGTTAAAATATTGTTTAAAAAAATTGCAGTCTCTGACTATTTGTGAGCCACAAAAGAAGTTAGAATGATAATTGCAATTTAGGGTAATAAAAGCAGTTCTGGGGAATTTATGATCCAGTTAATAAAAATTTACAATCCCGCTGTAAAACTTTACAACAATTCTAACAACTTTTTAAAAAGTTCATTCAGTTTTTTCAGGATCATTCAATATATTTTTAAAAATTGTATTCAATTCTTTCCTGATTATTTAGTTAGTAAAGGCTAGAATCTGAATAGAATGGAATGGAATAGAATAGAATTCTTTATTGGCCAAGTGTGATTGGACACACAAGGAATTTGTCTTTGGTGCATATGCTCTCAGTGTACATAAAAGAAAAAAATACATTGATCAAGAATCATAAGATATAACACTTAGTGATAGTCATAGGATACTAAATAAACAATCAAATAATACTAGGAAACAAATAGAACAATATAAATTGTAAAAATACAAGCAACATGGTTATAGTCATAATTGGGAGGAGATGGGTAGCAATAGCAATAGCAGTTAGGCTTATATACCGCTTCATAGGGCTTTCAGCCCTCTCTAAGCGGTTTACA